ATACTTTATTAGTAATGGACATGAAATGTGTTATGTGCAAAGAAAATAACTATCCTTGAATAGTAACTGCAGAGAAAATATGCAGTTTAAAATAGTAGCTGTGGCTATTATTCAAATAAAACTAGTTTGTAATTTATTGATTAGTAAAACAAACACTCAACTTTTCAAAAAGCTAGAAAATATCTCTTTTTTTTTAATTAAATGAAAGGTTAGCTTTAATCCTTCATTTAATTTATTTTATTTAATTAAATAAAAAAGAAATTTAATTAAATTTTTATTTAATAAAACATATATTTTACACTACACTATCAAGAACCTGTAACGGTGCCGTACACCTCCCCCATTGTGCAACTGTACATGTCAGAAAAGACCCACCCTGTCAGAATTGACACCCGATCCCAACAAATAGAATACACTCCATTCAGGGAATTCCAGTCGGCCTGAAGAAGAGCAAAGAGATCGCTTGAAAATGTTTGTCAACAGCGATATATAGTATATATGCATTACGCACAGGTTACAGGTTCCGGATAGTGTAGTGTAAGTTTCACCACAGTGCTTAGTTTGGAATAGTTTCTGTACATATATTTTAGCTTCCAAGAAACTTGAATGCTTGTTTAATTATCAATTTATCTATATTTAGCTGTCACATTTTCAGAATTATTTATGTAATTTTGAGTATTTTCATTTTGAATATTTCATTTATGTAATTAGTTACCAATAGATGGCCAAATATTATAATTTCCAGAAAATATCAAATAATTGTGGAAGATGGTAGAAATAAGGAAGGAATCAATAAACAACACTTATTAGACTATTACAGTGCCACACTTGCTAAAATACCATATTACATTACTGCTGAATTAAATGCTAAGGATCTTCCAAAAGAAGATTATCACTATTTTGTAGTAGGAGATCAAAAGATGTATGGAAAATATAAAAATGTTCGTTTATCTCCAGGAGTGTTGTATAATATTCGAATTAGAATAATTAGTGCTGTGAGTTTATTTTTATGTTTATTTAATTCAAGTAATTCTTTTTAAACAATAAATTTTTTTTTATACTATTAGAAGATGCAGTCATCTATCTCTGAAGCAAAACAGCATGTTATTGGTAAAAATTTTATTTTATATTATGCAAATAATTACCAAGTTTTAAATTTTTTATATGATCTAAATGTACATGATATTTAAAAAATTAATTTGAATATTATTTTATATAAATTAAAGTTAGTTATCAAAGTGATGAGAAATTTGAAAAGTTCCTATTTGGATTACCCTTTTTACATTTTATCTTCATAATCCTTGGAATGTTAGTTCTGCTCATAGTTGTTATTTTTATTGTTGGATTAAAAGTTCATAAATATTGGTAAGTTTACTTCTAATTAATTAATTATAATAAATTTTTCATCTAGAATATTTTATCTGTGAAATTATTTTGGTTCAGAGTGGATTGAATTTCATTTTTTTTATTGTTGCTTTATATAAATTTTATTATTATTATGGTATAACAACAATAATTAATATTAATATATTAATGAATAAGGCAAACTTTATAGTGAAACATTTATGTTAGCTTTCTTCAGATGAAAATTTTCAATATATCAATATATTTTAATTAATAACTCAGAATAGAGATGATTTCATGTCTTAGAATTAATAAGTTCTTAATTAATTTATTAACCACAACTCCATGCTGGTTGTATTCAAATCTGAAGAATAAGTGAAATGATTACTTTATTTATTCATATTTTTTTTTATTAAGAGATACTTTTCTATTATGAAACATTTATATATTTATAATATAAAATATCATAGAATATTTTATGTAAATATGAATGCTATTTATCACAATGCAATTTTTTTATATTATTTTCTTAAATTTAAATGTGTGCATATATTATTACAGTAGAGCGTCGTTTATCCGAATCAATTGGGGACTGGGGTGGTTCGGATAACGAATCATGTATGAAAAAATATATTAATTTATCCCATGTTGAAATTTCTCTCCATTGTGTGTCGCTTCGCGTTGAATTTTCATTGATGTTAAGCCTAACGAAGACTATTGTATCGTTAAAAATTATTTTTTTATTTTGTACAAACAAAATAAATATATTGAAAAATATAAAAACAA